ATTTTATACCTTACAGGGCATTTTAAAATAACTTTTCTCTCAAAAAACCCCATACATATATGTTTTTTATATATATACACACACACGTGATATATATATAAAACACATATAACATATATATAACACACACATATACACACACATAATCACACATACACACACACACACACACACACACACACACACATATGAATGCTATATAGTCTTTCTTTTAAATCATGATACACTGGTACCGGGAAAAAAAATCATTATACATTTCAGAATATACTCTATACCAAGAAAATACACCTTTATTTAAAATCAGAAAAATAAAAGTGGAACTAGCTCTGTAAGAATAAAAATGGCAGAAGCTGTGCAATGCCAAAGTTGGAGGGAGCCTCTGAGCTCCATTCGTGGGATCGGAGACTCAGAGCATTCAAGACAAGACCTGCACCGCGATTCTCATCAATCCCCGGTGACTCTAACCCTCACCCCACTCTATCAGCAGAACAAAAAACATTTAGTGGAAGTGCACAGCGAGTCAAATGAGGCAGGAAGAATTGCACGAGAACCTGGAGAAGACAGAGTGTGCACCTGAGAGGAAACGGGCTGGAGTCCCGTGCTAGAACACGCAGTGTCTTGGAGCACTCCCCACAGAGGACTCAGCCCTCGCAAGCAGAAGTGGCAACTGGCTTTATGGGAGAGAAATTGGGCCATTCCCCTACAGTTACCAGCTCTCTGGACCTAGGGGCTGGTGGAATTCATGGCAGTGGATTCCTTCAGAGAGCTAGCGTGGGAGCAAGCATATGAGGCACTTGAGGGTGGAATACGCTTCTGAAAGGCAAGCGTCTGGACCTGGCCTTGTTAGAGGAACGTGCAGCTGGCGGGAAGGGACACACAGATTAATTGTGGCAGGAGGAATTTAGAAAAGAGGAAGACATTTCAACTGTGTGTTTCTGGATGTTTTGGGGAAGGATTCGTTTTGTAAAGTCCCTGCTCAGAATAGGACCTAATTACCCATGTGTGACAAGGATACTTTGCACAGCCCTGTGCGTCCCTCGTCCCTCACAGAACTTTACAGTAGGAATATTTAAAACACTAGCAAGGGAAACGACACATTTTTAGAAAAAGTAAACAGGAAGAAGGCTGGCGTTAACGGCACCGACCCCAGCGATACCTACCCTTTAAAAAGAAATCTAAAGAGGAAAAAGCCCCTGGGGCCAGAGACCTGTCCAAGATTACTCACGAAGCCTGTGAGTTACTGAGCGAAGAGTGCACAGGAACCACAGGTGCATGATACAAAGCGGAAAAGCCCTTCAGATTTGTCCTAGACACATGCAGAGAAAAGACCTTCCATTTGCTCCCCTGCACTGATGGCTGGTAGGGAGAAAATCCTGAGCCTCTCCACGTGTTTGATCAGAGACACCCAAGTCCTTTCATCCACCAACAAAGACCTAAGGGCTGCACTGCACAAGCCAGGTACCTTTCTCGGCGTGGTGCAGAGTGGAAAGAGCCCGGCTCTCAGGGAGCTTACAGAGTAGCAGCGGCAGTGGGGAAAAGAGCTGGGACAGATAACAGTGCGTGCAGTATATTCATCGACTGACGGGCACTGGGGCTGCTTCCAAGCTTCAGCTATTACAAACTGTGCCGCTATAAACATGGGTGCACATATATCACTGTGGTATGATTCTTTTAATTCTTTGGGGAAGATCCCCAGCAGGG